CTCTATACCTCACCTTTAAGAGGCCTAGAAGTAAGGAAACACCTTACATGCTATGGTTCAGAGAAAAGCAGACACAGGTGAGCTAAACAAAGTCATGAGACTATAAAGTTCCACCAAGGAACTCATCATCCAAAAGGTTCAAGAAATTGAATGGAATGAGCCCATCAGATATATAGATATAACTTGGTGTCTTGAGGAGGAGCACGTCCTATTTGGCGCAGGCAGGGCAAAACAGCCAGCTTATATCCATGTAAAACTTTCTGGCATCACTATTACTACTGAAGAGATCTGATAAGCTAATGAAAAAATTACAAAATTGGGTAATTTGGCTAATAATCCCATATCTGGTACTGCAGGCTCATTACATCAGAAATAACATCTGTTCTTCCAGCTTAATTTGGGGCACTCTCGGCTCATGCATTGGGATATATGCTGCTGAAGCTAGCACATGGTTCATGCATTAGAACTACAAATTCTGGTCATTAACCCTTCCCTTGGTTTTCATTATATAGTGGCTCAGATGGATGACTACAAGTTTTACAGACTACAAGTTTTATCTATGAAATTAGATGACGTGCAGCTGTCATCCACCACATGATTTAAAAAATGATCCAGTAAAAGAACAGAAAAATCTAACACTTGTGGATGTTGAAAAAACCGTGTGGGGAACTTGACACATGACCATGATGCTACAAATAGTTTTGAAGTTCTGCCGTTAAGATCATAAGATCACATTCCCAGTTGTGAATCCTTCAATTCAGGCCAAAGAATGGCAATAAGGGGACCATACTGAGAACTGAAACCAACAGTTAACTTACTGTTAGCCATCAACAGCTTTATTATTCCACTGTCTTCATTCACATAGTATTACTATTCTAGGAAACTTGCCCAGGAAGCTAAAGTTGCAAATAGCTTTATTGTTCAAGAACTTCCTCAATGTCATTTATCTGAATGTTAGAATATTCAACTTACCCTCAGCAAAGTAGGTACTTTCTTCTCAGAACAATAAATGGCACTGAATTGCTGTTTACTTTGTAAGATTCACTTTGAAAATCATCCCTAATACGTCCAATCATAAACAAGCCCTCAAATAAAACAAAAACACCTTAAAGAGAATCCCAAAAGAACGCCATAGAGTTCTCAGATGACTCTGAGACACTACTAAGACTTATCAATGTAATGACTGTCTTTACCAAATATAGCAGCAATAAACTCAGCTTTGGTTTATCAATAGGATGATTCTGGTGTATTTTCAGGGAGCAAGCATAGGACAATAGAGTAGGAAGCTTAAATTATAAGGTATCATACAAAAAATCCCATACTAGAGTAGCATGATAAAGGAAAACTTATGATACTAACAACAGACTGGTTATTAATAACAATATTATATTTTAACAACATACTAACAACAGACTGGTTCCGAATCAGGAAAGGAGTATGTCAAGGCTGTGTATCGTCTCCTGCATGGCAGGCCACTATCTGAGCCACCAGGGAAGCCCAAGTAATTCTTTTTCATCACTTTCAAACTTACGCTGCTCCCATTCTCAGTAGAAGACTCAAGTTGCTGTCAAAAATGATATGTAAGAATTTGCTCACTAAACATAAAATCCAAATAAAATAGGATTTAAACGTGCCCATCGTGAGGCTGGAATTGCTTCCTCTGAAGAACAGGGATGCAAAGAAATGGAGAATTTAAAATCTGGGCTCTGGTGTAAAGGATGACATCAGTGTTAACCGTGAGAGTAAGGGCAGGAGAGTCTCTTTTCCTGCTCCCCCATCTCAGTAGACTAAGGACCTAAGTTAGCTCCTAGTGACACTCACATAGCTTACAGTCAACATTAACATCTGTTTACTACTTGGCTGTCTTCATTCAAGTGGCATTAATATTCTAGGAAACTTGCCCAGGAAGCTAAAGTTACAAATAATGTCAAGGTTCAAGAATTTCCCCAAGTCATTTATGGGAATACTAGACTACTCAACTCACCCTCATTTCACAAACATGAAAATCAATGTCCAGAGAGGCAGCAGTCACATCCCTTGATGATGTGGAGCAGAGACAAGATCTGGAGCCAGGTCCCTTGACCTCTGCCCAGAAGTCTCCCCACAACACTGTATTTTGTCTCAAACTAAGTGTCAGGCCTCAAAGAGGTAACAATCAGGCTTTTGAGACAACAAAGTGATTTAACACACACACATGCTTTGAGGGTGGACCATGATTTAGTGCTTTGGATACAGCAAGGGTTCTAACTCTCAGCCCAAAACCCAATTAAGACCAGTTAGCAAAATAAATAACTTTTAAGTCTTTAAATGCTGGTTATTAAAAAGAGACTCACCCCCAATGACAGCAGTGTTTATCTTGTTGAAGGTAGAGAACCTCAGAGATCACTTTACTCATAAACTGAGGCCTAGAGATGTATTGTGATTTACTCAATGTCAGTTAATTGGTATAAATAAATCCAAGAGAAGAAATACTAGAAAGTAGTATGGCATTTAAAATGGTAAAAATCACAAAATAGCTTATTTTTTAAAGAAATGACTGTGGGCCAGAAAGGACTCACAGCATTTGAGCTGACCCTTGAACTAATATGTAATGAGGTACCCTCACAGAACAATAGCTTCACTTGTTGAAGTAGTTCCAGGAACATTAGTTGGGTTGGGGCAGGAGAAACGGAGTTAAGAGCATTTAAAATTTCCAACGAAATATATACTTGATTCTGGTGAAACAGAGTAAGTTTAAAGAAAGCTTCTCGGGAATGCCTTGGTAGCAGTATGTTGACACTTTCTAAGTACTTACTTCAGTTGATATAGTCTAATCCACTAACAACCTTATTTCTACTATATGCTTTATTAAAACACTGAAGCTTAGAAAGTTAAAAAAAAAACAAGTTATTCTTCAAAATGAAGCATACTTTCAATGAATTTAAAACAGGACTTTTTCAATTATGCTTAGATTTAAAAGAAGTTTTGGATATATCAAATCTTGGTCAACTGACCTCATTTTCAAGACTCAACGAGTCTGAACTGTGATATCATGATGAAAGCAAGCTTATAATTAAAGTCACACATAGTCAGATGGGTACAAACGAAGGACAGCTGATTCCATTAATGGCCACAATTTGGTACTGATATTATCACCATTTGTAATGAATGCATAAACATTTTTAAAAAATCATTAAAGGAGAAGGAACAGTTTAGATGTTAGTTCAAGTGTGTAACTAAATCTTACTACCTACAGATTATCAAAGTTCCAATTTAAACTTAATGTTTTTCTAGTTTCAGTATAAAAACAGGTATAAAAGTTGCTGTGTGTGCAATACCAACATATCTAAAACTGCAGTAGCATAGTCAATTTAAAATTTACTTTTAGGATTACACAATTATACTCAATATGACAATTCATTTAAATTCCAAATCTAACAATTATGAGTAAAAGATTCATATCAAAAGTAATCTGTCAATCATACCTCAAGAAAGCTGGGGGGAAAATTTACTGAAAGAATTCTAACTACCACGATAAATCAGAATATGCTAAGTAACTGTAAAATGAATTAAAATGTTCATTCAAAAATGTTTCTCTCATCACAAGTCCAGAACTATGCATTTTTATGCACTGGGTTCAATAAAGAAACAATTGCCTTGAGAGAAAATTTCTTTCAAGAGCATCATTTACTGTAATAACCTTTATATATTACCCAATAACACAGGACTGCAGGTACTGAGTTCTGGTTATTTCTTAATAGCATTTGTTGCAATATTCTGATAGAATTCTAAATTGTATTTTCATATATAAATTCCTAGATGTGCACTACTCACACTGAAGAAAAGCACAACACTTGAAATCTTTGAAAGATTCAAACTTCACCTATTTCTGCCAGTTCTCTGAGCCTTCAACTGAATGACAGATAAGGCTCAGCTAGCACACACTGCTGCTGCTGCTAGGTCGCTTCAGTCGTGTCTGACTCTGTGCAACCCCACAGACGGCAGCCCACCAGGCTCCCGGTCCCTGGGATTCTTCAGGCAAGAACACTGGAGTGGGGTGCCATTTCCTTCTCCAATGCATGACAGTAAACAGTAAAAGGGAAGTTGCTCAGTCGTGTCCGACTCTTAGCGACCCCATGGACTGCAGCCCACCAGGCTCCTCCCTCCATGGGATTTTCCATGCAAGAGCACTGGAGTGGGTGCCATTTCCTTCTCCATACTGCAGTAGACTAAATAATCACAGAAAAACAGCACCACTCCAATACTCAATGAATGAAAAATGTTACTTATGGAATCATTAAACTTTTGTCAGTCTTACTCATTTAAGTATTTAGGCAGTACATAGTAAATGCTGTATTTTCTAATGATCAGATTTCAATACTTCAATGATGGAGCTGAATGCCCAGGGCAGGGAGGGGAACAGGGTTCCCCAGGATGCTGATCCCGCATCTTATTCACTCGTGAGATGATCTGGAGCTTAGTTGCCATGTGCAGTCCTTTAAACCAATGCAGAAACAAAAGGTGTCTGTTAAAAGTAAAACGATCCCAACAGTTTCTGTAAGTAAGCCTCTGGTGTGAGAGAAAATGGACTATTCAGGTATCTACAGTGACAATCCTAAGTAATACAAGATACATTTCTTTTCTGAAATATCAAGTTTACATGTTCAGTCTACCTGTAACTTTCTGTACATATTGCATTTTTTAATCACTTAAATACTTAAAAATATATGATGTGTAAGACTAGAAAAATAGAATGCTTAATTAACGAGCAGCATTTCTCTATCATCTCAGATAACAAGAGATATATATGACTCTAGCCTTTTGATTACACGTATCAAGTATGTATACAGTGACACCACTATTCATTGAACACTGTTAAATACATATTAAGCATCAGTTAAATATTTAAATATTAAATATTAACTAGTCATCAATTAGAAATCACACTTGCTTTCAGCTTCAGTGAAGCACTTAGAAAAGTTTATTTTGTGCTTAGATTTTTCTAAAGCATCACAAAATCATTACACATCCAAACTCTTCAGGGGTAGAATATTTAATATTCTAAAGGAGAGGCCTTTAAAGGGGACATTATAGAAACTATTACCGTAACAGAGAGGTGATCCATTCAGATTATCTATGGTTCTTCCTTTTATTGCCGCTAATACATTTCTATACTGCTGCCCCACAACTCTGCCCACTTCCTCTTTTGCTGTAAGGTGAAAACTACTCTTCTTTAAGGAGTAAAAATATATTAAATGTCTCATCTTGCTGATACCTATCTGTGAAATACCACAGTAGAAAGTAGAGAATACAGTTTTTTTCAGAAACATAAAACTTTATGAGTTTAAATCATCAAACATATGTTGATTTTGTACAATCAACTAAGAACTTTTTGGATGAGGACAAATATACATTGAAAACACACACTATAAGATGCTTTTTCCTGAGTAGAATGCTAACTTCATATCATATTAAGCTTCTGTGAATTTTCAAAATAGAAATACCAAGGCTTTTCCACAAAATCAAATAAAAATCAGGAATGTTCACCTTCACATCCAAAAAAAGAAGTACAGGTTCAACAATAATGATGTAAAATCTGAAACAAGTAGCCAAGATTTTAAGTTATCAGATGGCTTTTCACTTTAAGTATTCTTCGGTAAACTTCAGTTTGAAACAATTTATTAAAACATGAAAGACATTTCCAGGAAATTATCCAATTTGGAAAATAAAAAATGTAACCCATGGTAAGAAAAATACAAATCATACACTGAACACAGGAGAACAAAAAAGGCAACCAACCCTTATAAACTTTCTAAACATATCCTGTATTATCATGGGTAGAAAACTGTAATTAAAGTAAGGTAGTTTTTATTAGTCGCATAATCTAAAAATATGAATAAATTTTGGACTTTAAAGGAGATAAAGGGTTTCAGAGTTGTTACTGAAACACACATTTCTTGAGACAATGGGCAAAGTTCCCATTAATGGGAAATATGTTCTCTTCACACAGTGAAACTGAGAAAAATTATATCAAATGAGAAATCTTCTTCTCTAAAGTAATCTCCTTAAATACCTCAATAATGCAATACTTGGGAAATGTAATTTTCAACTCAGACTTGAAAGTTATTATGAAACAAACATACAGAAATCTTATTGCTTGGCACCAGATTTTCCAAAAATGAAAGAACTGTTTGAACCACCATATTGTTTTCAAATCCTATTTTTTCACAGTGCTTTTATTTTCAGAAGGTAGAATGTTCAACCTAATGACAACCTAGACTGAACCTTGCAATGTACAAGCAAGTCACAGTTCACTTCAAACCAAAACAAATGATTGATCTTCTGTTTCTGCCAAAATCATATGAAAATATTTGCAAAAATTAACTAGGATTTATCTGTGGCCAGTGAAGGACCCACAGAACGTTGTCTTACAGCATTCTGTGCAAAGTCTTTGTTTGTTCCTTCTTTGCTTTCAGATTCCTCTTCTGAAACATCTTCTACATCAGCCTCTTGTTCTTCCTCCACTTTTTTCAAAGGTTGAGAAGATTCTGGTAGTAATTTTCCTTAAAGTTAAAAGCCAGAAGTGTTTTGTTGTTGATGCATTAGAGTTGTGTTAGAGTACAATCAAGATACAATTCATATGCCCATAAACTGCTTTGGCAATGACTTATCAATCATGGCTGGATTTCCAAAAGGAAAAAGCTATATTCAAGAACAAATGATACTGTAAAAATAACTGGTCTGGAAGGTCCATTTTACTTACCGAATTCATTCTTATTACCCACCTATTCATAAACTGAACAGAAATTAATGAACCAGAATTAATGCTGTGAATATGGATGCCTATAAGAAAATAGACTGCATTAAATAAAACTATATTAATTTACAATTAAATCTTCTAGCTAATAAGGATACTAAGACAAACTTCAATAGTACCCTTGTTTCAGCTCCCAGGCAAACAGGAATCAGATGAAAGCTATTTTCCTAGACACCATTTTTTTTTTTAACTGGATTCATAAATGTGCCTCCCTCCTCTCCATATATATAATTTTACTGAGGCATAATTACAAACAACATAATATACCTATCTTAAGTATACAGCTCAATTACTTTTTTAGTATGCACATACACACACTACCCCCCCCCACCCCAGTTGCAAGTTAACTTGAACTTAGAACACTTAGAACATACCATGTTACTGAGATACAGAACACAGAATCTGGCTAACGAGTTTTTCTCAGTTCAGTGGTCCAAAACCATCCCTAATCCTAGGCAATACAGAATGGAGCAGGAAGAACACAGGGGTGTAAGGTAGAAAAGACCACAGGAAGGAATTCCCATACAGTGGACAATCTGTTGTTTGATCTGTCTGGCATATCTCTTTCTACTGGGTTAACGCCTTCCCTATGCCCCCATCCCATGCAGTTGTAGTTGAGTATAAACAACCGTTGAGAGCAGTGCTTCTCCACCAGTGGTGATTCTGCTGGAACACTTGGCAATGTATGCAGATATTTCTGATTGCTACACCTGAGGGGGGCAGTGCTACTGGCAACCAGGGGGATGATGCTAAACATTCAGTAATGTACAAAAGACAGTTTGTCCAAGTAAGAATTACCCAGCTCAAAAGACCAACAGTGTCAATGCTGAGAAATTCTGATTTAAAGTTAAAAAAAAAAAAAAAGTGAGCCCTCTACACAAGCAGAGTACACCAGAATTCTTTCAAAAGATAGGTGAGTACAGGGAGAGGTATATTTCCTTCTTACTCTGGGATTATGAGCTACAGCTTTCTGTAGTTATGCTCAGGACTCAAAAGAGCCCCAAATGGAACAAGCACAAAGTCATAGAGAACTGAGGAATTCAGAAACATTTGAGCCCCAGGATTTAGTCAACTCTGTCCTCTGGCTTCCTCACTACATGAACCAATAAATTCCTATTTTGGTTAAAATTAGACTCAGTTGGGTCTTTTCCCAGCAACTTAAAATCTAAGCCAAAAACACAAAATGGAAAACAACTCAAATTCAGAAGCCTGGTATAGAAGGGGCAATATCACATTAAAGTATGGATTAACATCAGCAGTGTAACAGATTACCTAAGACAAATCTGTTGTTAGATTTAAGGTTTCCTAAGCAAAAAATATAAATAAAACATACATTCACCAACTTAATTGTCCAATAAGTAATCTGCACTTATTATATTTTTTCCTACAGGTCAGTGGCCCTTGATGGATAAAATTATTCCCTCCCCTCCATGCATGCTTTTTGATATCGGTGCAACTACTAAGAAATTTTTTTAAAACCCTATCAGTTCTTCAACAATGAATACTTAACTGCCATCTTCACTGAGATGTTTCTAAATTGCTCAGTTCTCTATGACTTTGCACTTGCTCTATTTCATTTCAGAAGTTTTGACCTCAGTAAGTCCTAAGTCACAAAGGCAGCAGAATAGAAATATCAGGCTAAGAGTTCGATTTAGGTTCTACTCTCAGCTCTCATCTCTGCATGAACCTGGAAACACAGTTCATCTCTCGGAGCCTTAGTTTCCTCAATCACAAAACAGGAAGAGTATCACTTATGCAGTCTACTTTAAAGAGCTGCTGAAAAGCAAATGGGATGACAGAAAGTGAAAGTTCTTTACAAACAGTAAATAAGGCGGCCTTCATAACAGCATAATTTTCAAAATTAAAAATAAATGATAGCTAGGTAAAGTTATATTAAGATAAATAGCAGTGAATATTATAATTCCCATCTTGTAGTAAAATACAGAGCTAATGAGACTCCTAAAGCAATGACAGGCATTGCTTTCCCCAATATCCTAACAGAAAAACTTAGACTTGACCAACACACAAAGAAAAAGCCTCAAATGTGGTCACTATAACCAATGAGATGACTTCAAGACTGGAATATATTCAACTTTTTTTGACCCAAATATACTCAAATGGATCCCTGAATATTATGGAATTTTAAAACAAATTGACATCAGGTCAATGGTTATCAAATATCTGTTAAGGTACATGCAGTGTTAAAATTCTCCACACTATAAAAGCCAAAATAATGACTATTATGTTCCTAAATGCACTGGGCTGTCATGTCATTCTTACATGAAATATATATCTCTCTTCTGCCACTACTCTGAATTTAAAAACCCTAGCTAGAAAGGCAACCTGTCATGTGTGTGATTGTGTTTATTACAGAAATGAATGGGATTACAGTGAGTAAAAAAATTTTAAAATATACTTACTGGAAGGGTATGCCTGGGGTCTGCGCCTTTTTGAAGGACACAGGAAGTCTGCCACAAATATCATGAACTGCAAAAATAAACATAAGAATCTGAATGTATGATAAACAGCTAGAGCAATTAAATTACAAAATTCTAAAATATTTTCTTCCTAGTACTCCAAAAATGAAGAACTTACAAGTCCTAATAATAGTCCTGAAAGCAGAGTTGCTAAAGCAAACACTGTATATGATCCCCAAATCGGTAATCCAAGGTCTTCAATAAAATAGTTATGGCAAGTCTAAAATCAAAAGAAAAAAAAATAAACTAAAAATCATAGCCATTTCTTAAAAAGTGACAGTGTCAAAATGTTTAAAATAGAAATAAATTTTAGCCCTTACCCTGATCCACATAGAGAGCTGAAAGAGTGCTGACATACTACTCATCCTAAATTAAAAAGAAAAACCAAGTCAGATACACAGCTCTGAAGTAGAATACGTGTGTATTATCTATATTTTCTATTTTTTACTCTATAATTTCCAGCACAACAGATTTTATTGGTGATATTACTCAAGGTTAGTGATACATCAGTGATTTCAGGCCCCACAGAAGGCTTATTAGCAAAAATCAACAGTTTCTGAATTTTTGCCACTATGTAATATCCTCAAACAAAACATTTGATTTTTTTTCCTTTTCTTCTGTTATTTTGCCTTTAACCTTTCACTTGATGGTTTCTCCAATGTACTGTGAATCGGGTTGAGCTCTATGGAACCAGCTAGTTTGATGCTAGGCACACTATAAGCAAAAGGAAACTCTTATTCAACCTTAAAATCCTCCAAAGAACACATAAGGAAGGGAGCCTGAAGGAAGACTGGGAGCACTTTCTGAGTCGATCCTTCTCACCTAAGAATTACCCTCCTTTCACATATTAAAATTAAATAGAACTTACAATAGTATTAGTTTGATACAGTTTAATAACAACAAAATAATTACCTAAGAAATAAGTCACCACAGAAGTAAAAATAACTATTTTTCACATAATCAAACCCAAGAAATTTTGGTAGGCAGTCAGAAAAAAGGTATGCTCCAAAAATTAGGTTTGTGGGTTCTCTCTAGC